ATATAGCTTAGCATCTCACCACATTCTTCATTCTTCTCTAGGCATTTTCGCTGGTGTGCGTGGTTCTTTTCGTGCTGCCCAGCATTCCTCCGTGTATTGTGTGTTTGGTTGGCACGTACTTGCCTTCATTTGTGCCTTCAGGAAGATGAGGTGGATGCTGTGCTGATTCAGCAAGTGGCGAACAGCAATATGGACCGCACCCAGCCTTTGTTGCGTCTAGGCCCATCGTACGTTCGGTCAGCATAAAACTGTAAACAATATTCAGCGTTACAGGCAACGAGTGCGCTGGTGACCAAAGGCAGCCAATGATTCAGCGGGTGCTGTACCCAGAGCTTAAAAGGGAGCATTACTAGATGGTGGCGCAGTACAGTTCCCTCACAGATGTGCTGAAGGATTGTCCCACGGCGTGAAATGGCTGAGCGAGAGCTCCACGAATGGAAAGGCGATTTGCTTGGCCTGTCCAGAAACTGGCTGCCTTCTGCGTTCTTCGAAACATGTACTAGCACTCTATGCAATTTGACGTATTGGGCCGTTAGCTATCAAGCGTGCTATCTCTTGTAGCATTCTCATGCGCCAGTGTTGGGTGCGTGCACAACCAGCTACAGTAGTTTTTGTAGGGGCCCTGCGAAAGCCCGTTGGTGCTGCAGGGAGTGGCCAACAAGCACACATGGATATATTTACTCACCTGTGGAAGAGACGTGATTCAAAGCAGCTTGGCAGTTCAAGGTCTCAAAAACCGGTGTGCCGCGGAGCCGCCCCGACGAGCTAAAGTGGGATGAGCAAGTGGGTAGCATTGCATATGGAGGGGATACTAATAATGCTTCAACTGAAACATGAGTGGATGAAGATGTGATTCTTTAAGTGAGGGGAGGAGACATTTACGGAACAGAAAGCTCCCCTACGCAGGCAGCAACTTATCCCCGATGGTCGAGAAGTTGTTGGGGGACAGATTACTGTCGACGTAGTAAGATCCAGGAGTTTTGATGTTGCTCGAATTATTGGTTGGGGAGAGCATTTCGCTTTGACACTCCAGTTTATCCATTGCTTGGTCGTGCCCATTAGGCGACCGAGCTGCCTTGTACACGCTGGTCAGTTGGCCACCCAGGGCAGCCGGTGCCTCGGCGGACCGAAGGCGCATGGTTTATTTTTAAGCCCGTTATTCGTTTTGCTCTTTCTCCGCAGATAATTTATATTATGTTGTTACGTAGAGTATAACGAGAAAAATTGTTCTTCAGTTCGCTGTCAGCTGCCGGGCCCGGTTGCCCGGTAGCGTCCTGCAGCTGCTGTTTGCTTCTCAGGCGTGCGTGATTGTATCATTTGACCAGAGGATTTTGCTGCGTAGCTTGCAGCAACTGGAACACTGATATCTCACTAATTTACGTTTGGAACTCTGAGGTTGCGGTTTAGAAGGTTCTCTACGAATTCTTCCCTGCCACCCCTTGGCGGCACATAGGGGTGACCTCGGCGTTTCGTATTTTGGCGTGTTACCGGACGTTACGGTACATTCCGCTCAAGCAGTTGACAATTACTCTGTAAATATATATCTAATTTGCCTGCCCTGCCATTCTGCAACAAGTGTTTTCTCTCTTGGCCCATTGCCAACAATCCATCCAGGCAGCACGTAGCCTGCACTTCACCTGTTGGGGCCAATGGGTCCGTGGAATGGAATTCAATCCCTCGTGGTTACTAACCCATTTTTTCGCAGCTCGAATGCCCGTGCGGCCACATGGCTCACCTCTAAGTCTAATGTAAGACACAGATTTGGGTGTGGGTGGGTAGTGGGCATGTGCGAATATGCGCGCTCAGCCAACATGCCCACGCACAGGAGGCTCTCCACTATGTGCATTTGGCACACAGTAAACTGTGTTTTTGACCCATACCTTTCTTGAGCTTGTTTGTTCGTCCCTGCAGAATGCAAAAGAAGAGAAGCGCTTAGAGCTACAGAGCGGCGAAGAAGACCAGAGCACGAAAAAGTCCCGGCAAAACTCTCGCTCGGAGCGACGACGCCTGCAGGCTCAGCTGCGCGAGAGGGCCCAGATAGAGCTGGAGCATGTGAGAACTGCCAGGGAGCAGCTGCACAACGTAGATATATTCCCCTATAAAGCGCATGAAGGGGACGAAACACCGAGTTCACCTAACAGGCGCAAAGAACCCCGAAAGTTGCCTCTTGCTGGCTCCACAGGCGTATCAACTGACTGTTCAGCGAGCTTTCTGGACGGGTATGGCGAATTCGCTGAATGGTCGGAAACACATGAATCTCCTGAACCAACGAACATGCAACAGAAAGAACCAGGACTCGAGTGTGCCTCACCCTTGATTTTTCAAGAGGACGCTGCCCCCCTTGTTCGCCAACTGGCAGTTCCTCAGCAAATATCTCCTGCCATCATGAGCCCTGAGGAGGGGGATTTCGAGTCAGGAACGGCTACGCATGTTGCTTCGGAGCAAGCGGCTCCTCCACCAGTTCATGAAGCGGGGCTCTCCAAATCCAAGATGCCATTATCAGTGGTTCGAGAAACTAGCGTAATAAAAGCAAAGACCTTTGCTCCACTGGCTACGGAAAAAGATTTTGCCATGCTTATTGAAAAGCTGCTCGCCTTTCGCATAATTTCCCAAGGGGCAGCTGCTGCATTAAGGGCTCCTGGAACGAATGTTGGTGGAATGGAGGAGCGTTCATCAGGCACTGCTGCGTGTACGCCTTGCGGGAAACCAGGGCTCCCTTCCGCAACAGCTGTAGCCAAAGCACTAAGTGAAAATATATTGCGCTGTCATCCGATGTGCCACACAGTGCGCTCCATCCTCACGTCAAAGTCAATGGCTGATAGCAGTTCTTCGTCTTCAAGCGAAGACGATGGCACTAATCTGCCTGCCTACAGGACATTGTCGGTTCAGCGGCGTAGTTGCATGAGACGCAGGAGTGGCCCTCTCCGGTTCTTTCGGAGGGCCACGTCTCGTGTGGATTGGGCGGCAAACGCAGATGAAGCCATTTATATTGAGTATGTTGCTCCAGTGGTCTCGCTTCTCCCTCCTGAACCTGTCGAGGTCCACGCACCCTCTCTTGTTGAACCTTCCAAACAAATCAAATTAGCTTCGCAGGAGGCGGCAGCGGCAAGAGCAGCGGCAGCGGCAAAAGCAGCAGCGGAGGGGGACCCGGAACGAGAAGCAGCAGCGCAAGCAGCAGCGGCGACAGCAGCAGCCCTAGCAAAAGAAGCTGCACAAGAAGCAGCCGAAGTAGCAGCAGCCGAGGCCAGAGCAATAGCTAAACAGGAACAAAATGCAGTTGCAAGACTAACAGCAGTGGCAGCGATCCTAGCGGAAGCAGAAGCAAAGATATTGGCAGCGAAGGCAAGAGCCGGGCGCCTCAGTAAGGAGGAACTTGAGCAGTGGCAGGGGCTTCTGGAAGGAAGTTAACTCGCGTTTTCACCTTTTTGACCCCAACCCCCCCGCAGCGAATTTGAATCCCACAAAGTATGCTTAGCACCCATTCGATCCCACTGGTTCCATGTGATGCGCATTGCGCCCGCGTAACATGCAAAAATGCAGCAACACGGCTCTGCGCGAGAAAGCACTGTACAGCCATAGTTGCATGTTCGCATGCACACTGATGATACCTAGGAAGAGGTGAATACGTATTAATCCACCAGAGAAGTGCGTCTCGCACAAATGGAGCCCCTTTCCTCTGGGAAGCACTGGAACTCTAACCTGTTACCCACGTGGTGCAGCACTAGCTCCAGGCGCAACAACAGCTGCTGCATGGGCTTTTACTACTGCTTTTTCACGCCTCCCGATCGGGAGGGTGTACAGCACGCGTATGGGTGCGCTGCGGCAGCACCACAGCAAGTCCGTCCCACGCGGCCGTCACTTTAAGGGGAGATGCATAAGTTCCCTTCTGCAGCTGCCCCTCTATATCGTAGGCCCGTCTGTAAAGCCACAGCCACACGGACTCACTCCGTATTCGTACAGTGCCAAGAAGGTAAATGCTTCACTGACCTTCGGTCTGGAGTCAGGACGGAGAAAGAGACTGCACCTGCGCTGCACATTTTGACTTGCAAGTGCGCATCCCATTCGGACATATGCCCAATATGACACCTTACCTCGCCTCCTCTTCCACGCGCTCCATAGCAAGAACACTGCGCAGAGCGGGATCCCCTCGATACCTTTGGGAGAAGTGCGTAAGCACCAACCGGCCAGCGCCGGCACGAAATGCGAAGCTGAGGAGGATGCAACAAACCCAAACCGGTCAAGGCCCTACTGCCCGGCTCCCCGGAAGACCATCAAATGCACCGAACACCCAGCCTCACATACTTGCTCTGAACCTTATATCTTAGCCCGCAGACGTATGCAGGCTGCGGTGCCCAGACAAATGGGCAGCTTCTCTGAAAAAGCGCAACCACCTTCCTCACCTGCCAGCCATGGCCGCGGAGGAGTGGCCCCTCTCGAAGGCCGCCTCACTTGCAGCCTGGACCTGGGAACCCATGAGGTCTTTGGCGCTACGGCCTTTAAACTCCCCATAACAACGAGAGAGGCCTTCCCCCTTCTCCAACCTTGGCTGATCCAACGGAAGCAATGCATCCGAGTATGGATCCGACCTGCATGATGTCCCTTTCACGCCACTCATCGTCGCCTCGTGCACCTGTAGCAACAGAAGTGGCAGCCCTCCCACCGCCAACAACCTTTACAAACGCAGCAACGCTTCCCTTCTTTCCCTTCCCTACTGCAGTAATAACCGCATCTGCACCAACCACAGCTGCACCAGCCGCGCTTACAACGATGTCGGCTCCACGGGCAAAGGGGAGCAGCCGGGAGGCATCGCATGTGTCAAATGCGAAGCATATCTTCCTGGGATGAGGAGCCTCGAGAAATATATCGGAATGGCCAACTTGAGTCCCATCTGGGAATGTAAAGCGCTCTCCAGTTTTCAGGTCAGTCAGGAGCTACACGAAGCATGCAAGCAACAAATAACAAAATTGTTACGGCCGCGTCCAACCCACACGAAAAAAGGGTCCGCACCATCCACCAGAGGCAGGAATATGAATATATTCACTGCCGTTGGCGCTAGCCAAAAGCGACATTGAAAACAATTCTCTCATGCTCGCGTCTGCTGTAGAGAATAGGTCTCGTGTGAGGAATATGGCTGCTGCTGTTCTTGGTGATGGGCATTATTGTGATGCGTTCAACATTCCTTGCCTTGTACACAGCCCTGGGCTCCCCACGGAGTTGGGGCCACTCGTGAAGGTCTTTCAAGCGATGGGAGTTCCTTTCAATGACGGGGTCGATAATGTCGGCCCGGAGGCGGTGGCGAGACTTCTTCTCCGTCAACACGTAACCCACACAGGGCACCAGGTGCTGCACAGGCAAAACAGCAGCAAAGTCACACCCTTGTACTCGCAATGTAACAGTTGGGGTTGTTTCTGATGTGGTTCTCGTGGGCGATTTCCCGCCAGCTCCTGCTACCGCATACGGAACGAACAGAAAAGTGCCGGCGCCTTCCAGTGCGCCTAGGCTTTCTGGATGTCAGCTCACTGCCCTGAAACTAGCAAATGATTCCTGCACATGCACTCCTCAGAGACGGTTGCGCTGGGAGCAGCAGCCAGCTCACTCTTATAGGTGCAGCCGTGACGACCATCTCGGAGTCTTCAAAGGCCACATAACTGCCATCGGCGTTCGGCTCAATGTCCCCCCTTCCCACAGTCTCCGACGGAGCCCTGAATCCCAACAGATCCACGCAACTGCAGACAGAATCGGTCGGGAGCAAACTGTGCAGAAGCTGCAGTAGCCCCGGTAGCAGCAAGAGAAGCTATCACTGCTGCCCGAAGGACGAAATTATGTCGTGCATAGACAGCAGCATTGCTGGGTGGGTCTGCAGCTGCTGATACTACCACAGCGCTTAGCCAGATCTCCGGCCAGTAGCTGTTCCGCTGTCTGTTTGCCCATATGTTTTACTTTGACTCCACGCTGTGCTGCTTCCCACAGCAGCGCTGAGCTCACGGAGGCAAAAAGGGCAGGCGGATGGCCCGCGACCGCCTGTGATGGAGATGGGGGACAGCCCGTAGCTCCACCACAGAAAAGGAAGGGAGCCGACGCGCACTGGTGCCCTGAAAACGCGCACCCAGCTGTACAAGCAACCAAAATAACTATTCCTCCGCTGACCCGGCACAATACTTCAAAGCGCTGTCACACTTCAAGGAACGTAATCAACGCGCGCCAGGCGAAAACACAAGGCCCTGAACCCTGAATCCTATACCCAATAGCAGAAGGCTCCGAACTTCCAGCCTTAACATCGCACCCTACATGCCAAATCCTAGGCCATCAAACGTGTATTCTAAACCCTCAGTTCTTGACGTTCGACACACATGCAAAATGCAGCGAAGAAGGTTGCGGATCCCCTCAGGCCCCACGATTTCGATGTGTCTGGGTCCCCTGCAACGGTGCCACAGCAGGCAAATGAAATGTGCGTGTAGCGCCTGTTGGGCACAAGAGAAACTACGCGTGAACAGGTGGCAAGAGGAAGTGAATGAGAGACCTGAAGCACGCGAGCCAGGCGTGTCACTTAGCAGCATTCAGTGCCTCACTCCTCTGGATCTTGCGCTATTTGGGACAGAAAGGAAGGGAGGCCTAGGCAGTGGTCCCCGTGAAGATGCGTCACAAATACCCGCTGGACCACGCCCATGCGTCTCTGCAGAAAGAGCAAGACACAGACTAGCTACTCCAGCTGCACTTTTCAGAACACGAGTATCCCACCAACGCAAACGCGGAACAGCAAACGGTGAAGGAAAGCCAGGATGCAGTATCCGAACCTTCCTCGTTTCCTGCTGTTGCTGCTGCTGCTGCGTAGCAGCGACAGCCGGGTTTGTCCACGTAATGGCCTCCGCAGCAACAGCCGCAGCCACTGCCCGCTCCAACCTGCTGCTAAGGTCTCCTACAGCACCTGCTTCAGCTGCTGCCGCGTCTGCTGCTGACGCGGCCCTACGACAGGCAGAAGCAGCGTGAGTTGGGGAGGGCCCTCCTCCGCAATCAAAAAGCCAAGCGCAGCCGTCCCCACGGGAAAACAAAATAGAAGAGGTTCCCCTAGTCGCCTGAAGGAAACAAACGGGAACCAGAGGCAGAACCATGGGCAGTAACGGAAATGTCCACCGCTGCAACAACAGCAGAACCACTGCATGCACGAGCAGGTGCAGCAAGCACGCCGGCGAAATGTTTCTGCACAGTGGAGAGGATGCACTAGCCCAGTACCAGCGATACCTGGTCCTGTTAGTAGCACGCACTCAACTCCTAGCAACGCAAAATGTTACAGCAATAATCAGAGCACCAAACGGAACAAAACCAGCCCCAACACCACCAACACCAGCAGAACCCATGCTTACCGAGGCCTGCATGGCCCCAGTCCCCAGGAAATGGAGAGACCAGCTGCCCTTCTGCTGCTCTCCCCTCCGCCGCAGCAGCAGCTGGCGGTCAACTAGCAGCTTCGCATTGCCCCAGGTGCTGCTCTGGTGTGCATATACCACTCCAATTGCATCAGCTGCATTCTTAAGGCCAAAAGCATCTGCCACTTTGGATAGGAAAGAAGCACGGGCTGCTTGAACTGCTTTAGCAGTGGCAGCAGCCCACCAAGGGGAGAAGCCCGCGCTGTTGCCACAGCTGCTGTTGCAACTGCCACTGTTCTTGCCTCCCTGCTCCACGGAATCAGCCGATAGCGCTCCTGCTGCAGCAGCAACCACTTCCGCGTAGGCTGTTTCGATTTCCGAAGCAGCTTTTGCTGCTGGAGAGGTAAGCGCAGCTTCCCCTGCATCATAAGTCGGTGTTGCTTCTGTGCCTGCTGCTGTTGTTGATGTGGCCGCAACTGGTCCCGAAAGTACTGGTGCAAATGAGGCAAGACTCAGTGCAATCTGTCTGTATAATTCTAGCCGGGAGGCTCCAATAAGGCGCGTCTGCTGTCCGCCCGCTGGAGGATGCTCGGGGTTCCCTCCTAAGGGCAGGCGAAACGCTGTTCCAAGGGCGCCCGCTACTACCCGGCGGGGAAAATGAATATATGGCACTGAAAAAGAGCTTGTTTCGGGCAGACGGAACAGCAGAAGCAGCAGCAGCAGCAGCAGCGTATGCTGCCGCCGTAGCAGCAATACCGCCCGGTTCATTGCACATTTGGAAGCCGCCTTAGTGTGGCACTACGAAGGTACTTCCCTTCTTATTCCTACCTGGGACTTACTGATAGGGAACAAAAATTAAGCTGGCCGCCTGTCCGCCAGTCGGACCCTCTATGATGCTCGTCCTTGTCAAATTGCTGGGTGTCTCGCACGCTCTACGCTACTTATATAGTAAAGTGGAGCAAAAGGGTGCTGCATAAACTATCCAAACGTTGACATTACTGAAAGCAAGCAACTGCCGAACAACTGGCTGGGGGCCCTTGAGGGGCCCCGGGCAATCTCTGGAAGCCTTGCAAGTGTCAACACACTCAGGGGCCATTGAGGATCACGATATATAAAAACAAACCTAATTGTTAGTTTTGTTTGCAGTTATATCCAACTGACATGGCTTTTCATAGTTTTGCGCTAAAGCATTCAGCAACTTCGGGGGCCTGCATCGGAAACGGGAGCAGCCACAGCGGGCGAAAACGAAACAGCAACAGTAGCATGTAGGAGTTGCGTGCATTCAAGTTAGCGCCCTGATGGGCAGATGAATAAACAGCAGCGGCTGCGGCAGCAGCCGCCGCCTCCGGTGCGAGTGCGACTGCTTCTCGTTCTGCTGCAATTTTGGTTGTGCGTGCTATCCCTGAAGGCACGTCCAGCAGGAGCGTCAGTATTGGGAACATTGAGCTGTAGCGGCTTCACCAGCAGCTGTAGCGAAGGCGCCAAGCCATCTGTTGTTGCATTTGGTGGCTTGCTGCCGCCACCTAGAATACTAACAAACAGGAGCGCCACCACGACGAGCGGCGACATGAAGAGCAGCAGCATTTTGTTTTCGCGAGGCCGTTTTAGACTGCACCCTCGTTTGCGTGTGCGCCACTTGTCCAGGGACAGCGGCAGCAGCCACTTGCTCGAGCTGTCACGACAGCGGCTACTGTTGGAGCGCGAAGGAGACCTAGAGAAATATCTCAACCTGCCCCTTTTGCCTTTCCCAGCTGAAGAGGAAGTTCACTCGCAACGAAAGAGAAGCCGAACGCCTCCGCCAGGGAGCCCTCTTCCTGGGCCGCTGCTGCAGTATAGGAAAGCAAAGCAGCTGCTCATGGGGCACAGCGGCACTAGCAACAGCAGGCGGGTGCTGATGATGCGCGACAGACTGTCTCTACTGGTGCATCATCAGCAGGAACTACTGTATGACTCTCCGCAGTCGTCTGTCGAAGTATTGCGGACTCTCTGGGATATCCAGGCAGACGGACCACCCACGCTGCAACAGCAGGAGCTGAAGGAGGAAAAGCTGCAACAACATCAGCTGCTCCGCCGTTATGAAAGGGAAAACTCCTTGCTACAGGAGCGACGGACTCGGCCTTTAGGGAGCCGTTTCCTCTTCATCTGTGGCATAGACCTTCGAATGACAGGAACAGACCTCGAGAACATATTTCAAACCATCACGGAGCACCAAGTATATGCGAGATTGAAAAGAAACTCAGGTCAGCCAGTCCATACTGACTGCCGCCGTTCCCTTTCATTGCCTCCGTGCATATCTGCCTGTAGTTTTGTCTACTTCCATTTCACCCTTTGCTTGTTTCCTTGTCCGGTGTACAATGGCCGCTGCGGACAGGACGGGCGGCCTTGGATGCACACCTAGGGCTTGGTAGAGCATTGCGTGGATTTCCTTGAGGTCTGGGGCAGTAACGTTTGTCTGTTTGGTAGTCTATACCCTTCGAAGTACTTTTGCGTGAGAGTATTTTTGTGCGCTCCTTCATATCCCTTTTTCGGCGGTCCTCCCGCCTGCAGCATTTTGCCGTGCTTGATCTTATTGCGGTTTCTTGCTTGTTTGAGGCTGCAGAGGGACGGCATTTGGGCTTTGGCCTTATCCAGTTCGGCTCAACCTTGGATGCGACACGGTGCTTGTTACAGCTAAACGGCATCAAGGTAGGGAACAGCACCATTAGCCTGGGGGAAGCGTTCGGTCGAGCCGAAGAACCTGGACAGTCCTTCGACCAGCAGCTGCAGCACCAGCAACCGCAGCATCAGGAGAGGAAGCATCGTCAGGGAGGCAGTAGGCCGACTAGGCAACGCAAGAGGGCGAAGTACATACACCCGTATCCTCTCCCGTGCGAATAAATTTTCTTCGCTTCAGATGCTAAGAGCTCTTGCGTAGACTCCTGGCTTTACGCCCGTGTGTGACGCCAAGAGTTTGCTTGGCACAGCAGCGGCGGTACCAGCAACAACTGCAGCATCTGCTTTGCAGAAGCAGACTCCCCCTTAACGTCCAGATTATGGGGCTTGTTTTTGGTGTAATTCTCTACCATTGTGCATTCCTGTCCATGGTAAAACTATCGAGTTCCGCCCTCAAATCGAGGGTGTGTAAGAAAGAGCGCGCCTCAAAAAATGAACCTCATTTCTCATATATAGACGCAGGGACGCCTGCCGCTGAGCCTTCCTCCCACACACATATTCCGGCAAGACAGACTCAGCACACAAGGCTTGAAGTTCTGGCACTGCCTGTCAAATCATTGCCTTCACTCTTAGCAGACTCCCTGTGACTGGGCAGGTGGCAAGCCAGGAAGCCCGCTGCACCCCCAAAGAACCCCTCAAAAGCGTATGGGACCGAAGGACCACAAAGGCTCTAGCGACCACCAAAACAAGCGCATTTCCTGTTTTCGGACGGTGCTTGGATAGTGTTCCCGATCCTGATGCTGCCAAGTCCCTTTGGTGTTCCTACTTATTCTTCAGTTCCTTGCTTCCCGACCTCTTGAAAAGACCCGAGAGACGGGACACCAGTCTGGCTCCCAGCGGCCTGGGTGCTATGGTGAAGCCTACTGGGGCTGCATTGGGTATTCTCTCCCCATCAGCATGCGGTTTGTCAGACTGTCCTTGGGCCGCGGCGGCAACAGCATCTGCCTTGATGGCCCCTACCGCAACAGCTGCTGGCTTGGGGGCCTCTGGTTTGGTAACTGCAGCGTTGGCACTCCGTGGAGCAGTATTAACAGCCTGCCGAGTCCCAGCTATGGACGCCACGGCATCAGCTATGGGTTTGGGCGCCATTCCTGTTGCACTGGAAAACTTTGGAGAGCCTTTCCCCGTGACACGAGTGGAGGCCTTGCTCTCCCCTGGTCTAGCAACTGATGGCTGACTTGGGATGTTCCCGGAGGCAGCACCAGCACCGAGCGTCAACAGTCGTTGCGACTTCCCCGTGTTGGGTGCAGCGCATCTATAGAATGCAGGGGCAGGCTCCAGTGTTGACTTTGGAGATTTTGCCATTGAAGTTGGCGCAGTTGTTAATGCAGCTGTTGCCGCTGCAGGGGCCGTCGCTGGAGTTGTTGCTGCTGCCTCAGCTGAACTTCCTGCGTCTCCAAGCAACCTATCCCGCCTAGGCCGGAGAGGGGCATAGGCAACAGCTGCCTTGTGGGGACCCGTCGGCGATCCATCTGCTGTTGCTCGCCTCGGTTGTGCGCTAGGGGCCCCCAAAGCAGGAAGCAGGGGCCCCATTCGCTTACTTGAGAGCTGTGGCGCTGGTGCACACGTCCGTGGGTTTCCTGATTTTGCAGCTTTTAGCACTGCAGGTCTTGCTGCTCTTACGAGTTCTGCAGATGGCTTTCCTACTGGTGCTGGCTTTTGTGGAACTGTCGTGGCATCTGCTGACACCGTCTCCGCTAGAGTCATCGGGCGCATTGCTCGCATCGCTATGGAATTCTGCAGGTTTGCTGCGGCCGCCTGCTGAAGAGTTGCTGCTTTTGCTGCTGCCTCTGGAGTTGCTGCAGTTAAGGCGGTCGACCGCGTTCCTCCACTGCACTCTTGAGGCTCCGGATGCGTAGGCTTGAGATTGCCACGTAGTATCTTTCCTGTCACTGATATTGTAGTCTTTGGTGTCGCTGCCGCCTTACCCCGGCCCCGCGCGACAGGAGATAAACGCGGTGATATGGGATGCTCTGAGGCTGTTGCCGCTGCTTTTTTCTCTTGGAGACTTCCGTCCCTATTCACGGGCGTGCGTTTCTGGATGTGTAAGTCTCCACCACGTGCAATAGCAGTTGCTGTTGTGCTTGTCTTGGGGCGCACCCGTGCTGCGTCCGCAGGGAACCCAGGCTCACGTGAGGACGCGGTGACTGTTGCTCCTATTTTGGGGGTTATTTTTGATGTTTCTGCTGCTCCTGTTGCTGTTTGAGTGTTTTTTACGGGCAACTTCCTCTGGTTCAGCAGTGGCTGCGACATGGTGCGTAGTAGTCCGGGTTTTGGTGATGTATTTGCACCATTTTTTGCTGCTCTGGCTGCAGAACCTGATTTCACAGCTTCTCGGTGGGAGAGGTGTCCCAGCATCACTTTGTTATCTTCGTCGGGGGCCCAATTTTCCGCCGGGGTGATAACGCCAGATGAAGGTGTGATGTGAGCAAAGTGAACTCCTGTTTGCATGCTAGTAAGTGTGCTGCAGCTGCTGGAGGATGCGGCGTTCCTGCCTGTGGCTTTCTCTTCTGAGCAAAGCGGCGCAGCATCCCTGACTTTTGCTCCTGTTTCTGTCTCCAGGTGGGTAGCGTGGGAGTCGGTTCCTTCAATACATACAAGGCAGCCACAGACACAATCAACAAATTTATCTGTATGGCGGGAGCGCTGTAGACAAGGTATAGCTCGTACTACCGAGCAGGAGTCCAGGAATCCCCTAATGAATCTCTTACTGTGCGTGCAATCTTCTGGTTCATTGCATTTTTGCGTGGCTTCTTCTCGCAACAACTTCAGCAGCAAGTCTTTCACGTCAGCCCTCCATACGCTTTCACTAACATCGGCGTGCGGCTTCACCGAGAATATATCAATAGACCCGTCCTGTTGACAACAAAAACCCCAATGATCCCAACAATCGCTTTTCTGTTTCCTCAACTAGAATCTCCCAGTCACTGCGAGCGGCTGTTTTCCGCCGTGCACTGTGCGTGCATGGGAATCGGTCTAATGATAACGTTATTCGGGCAGCGGTTCTCTTGATGTGTGCTAGGATCCGCAACTTTAGCGTTGGCGTTGATGTTTATTGGTCAGGGTATCAGGGTCTGAAGTTAGGGATTAAGGGTTTGGAACCTCATCAGTTGCCTCGTGAATATCCCTGGCGCTGTCAGAAATGGATCGGCTAATGGCCTGCATGCATCTTTTTTGAATGTCCCGCTGCCCATCGAGCCGGCTGACGATCAGACACTTCCCAAGCGCCTCAAAAAAGGTCTTCTCCGCCTCAGGACTGCGCCATGCGTGAACAATGATACATTCCTGAGCACCGAGGAGACGTGCAGAAGGTAAAGGGCAGCTAACCTCGTGGGGGACGACAGCTTGCGCTTGTTTCGCAAGCGAATTTGACGATTTTAGGGCTCAATGTACAGGTTTGTGGCATACGAAAAAAAAACCCGAACGTTCATTAATACATCAACGCGCTGGGGTACCTCTGCTTTTGAATCCGTCACAATTTGGTGCATATTTTGCCTTTGGGCTGACCGTTCGTGCGCCGAGGAGATGTAGGAGACATTTTAGCGTCTTAACCCGTGCGCTGGGGCTGTTCAGGAGATCTGTTACAAAAATCAGGTCGAAAAAGCCCCTCAACGTTTCAGATGCTGGGAATTCACCGGAGCGGATCTGCAACAACAGCAACGAAAATAGCCACAATACTAACAACACGGGCTCCGGCAATGCAGCAGCGGTTTGTTTTGTACATGGTGCACCAAAAACAGCGAGAGTGGCAACAGCAACGGAAGGCGAAGGAATTCGTATTCTGGGTGGACTGTACCGGATGGCACTTTGTGAACTCAGAGTTAAAGGTGGCAACGTTATGCTGTAAAAGAGCCAAAGTCGGTCCATTTTCTTCGCATGCATGGGCATCAGCCCCTAGCAGGGCGGCCACCATAGAAACGAGCCCACAACCTGAAGGTCAGCATTTCGTTGCTGCGCTTGCTGCAAGAGTGTTCCGGTAGATGTATATGAGCGTGTGGCGTGGAATGGTCACGGTGCGTCCGGATAATATACTATATATAAAGAAACGTATTTTATTGGCAGCTAATGTAAACTTTGAACCACGTATATACATAAATTGTGGAAAAGTTATCGGCAAAAATAGGTCATCAGATGTGGGTACAGCCGATGAATGTGCTAGGGAGGAGTCTAGCACCCCCTGCACGCGTTAAGCCCAATTGCTCTGTCACGAAGTGGCACTCACCAGCCCCAAGTTCGATTGTCTTACGGCCTCTCAAGGGGGTTTTGTTTGTCTGGGTCGCCTGAAGCTCGAGATGCTTTCCGAGGAAAACGGGGGCAGGGCCCACCTGGGCTGCAGCGGGACCCCATGCGGACTCCTTTATGTACAACAAATCTTTGGGAACACCTGGAACCTCACCTGCCTCATATACATAAAAACGGGGAGCTTGCCAAGTCCCCAGCGCTAGGGGTACTCCCGAGCCTCTGCGCAACATCTTCAGGACTGAAGGGGGAAAGAATACTTTAAGTCAAGAGGAAGCTTAATGCTTCATCGCGCTGAGAATTTCGGGGAAGGCAAAGAAAGAGGAGCCAGCAAGTGGGGGACACCTGGCGGGCAGGGGCTGAGCAGGGTCACTCAAGGTGGTAATGGGTACTCCACCCCTGAAACTCTTGCGGTGGACAAAAGGCATTCAAGAAGGACAAGTCGTGCCATTACTAAAGGAAAGGCATCTTCTTTTTAGGTGTCTTACCCCACATTCCCCCAACGGATACATCTAGCGATAACGCTGTGCACTGCGCAACGTGCCCAGCAGCGTATGCTGGACAGGAAGAGATCTACAGTTCATTTGTACTGACGATCTTCCCCTTTGCGAATGGATCACCACTTCGGTAGCTCGAGAGGTGAGCTAGTCAGACTATGCGTACTGTCGAGTTGCTGCTAGATATCCTTGGGCTCGGCCGCTGCATATGCAGCTGGAAGCGGCGGCGATGAAAATGAATAGGTAGGTGAGGCTTGGGTAATCGCCCAGTCAACTTTTACATTGTCCCTGAATCTTTTGAGGCCTAGCCGCTACGACGGAGAGTGTTGCTAGGCGAAGAAAATCAGATGAGTACAGTTCCACAAGATTCACTCGCCGCTTCACTCTCCTGAAGTGCACCTACGTGAGCTTGCCCAGCTTCTCGAGGTTCTCGGCTTCAAACTAAGGAATTGATTTCTCAAGCACAGTGTCATTTTTGTGAGGGAAGCTAAACTAGGGACTGCAGTCACTCGTGAAATAGATATTGCTGCACCGGGTTTCCTTTCAACAGTCGACCATAGCTGGATGCTGCAAAGAGTTTTATTCTTCTTTTTTCGAAAAAGCAATAGGGCGGAAACTCAAAATATGAGTGAAACGGGCATTTTGAGAGCGAATTTTGCAACAGTGAGTCAAGCCTTAGGTTCATTGCGTCTGCCCCATCGACTCGTCTGTAGGCTGGTACATCATCACTTCTTCCAAGCAGTAACTGCCCCTACACTGGGTACTCTTTCCGTTTATCTTCTGCCCAGCGTAGTCACACCTTCAAGACACAACGATACAAGTGATCCATCCCCAGCTTAAGAAACTGACGCCTCGAAAACCTAAGAGCCCCACAAAAGCTACACAACGCATAATTGTGAATAGTATTTGCTCGAACTAGCTTATCCAAAAAGTGCCAAATTAGAAGAAGAGCATCTCAAAAAAACGAAAGGAATCTACACCACCCATTGAGCCGCTTCTCCATAGGACTCATCCCTGAGTGAAGGCTTCCAACTTCGGGGGGTGCTATAGGCGAGGTTAGGGGTCGGCATGCACTTGTTCTGCAGTGCAATTTCACTGGGAACTCTGCCCTGCCTATTTGTATATACTAAGGCTTGTCGAGGTGCACTATGGTAGGAACTTTAAACTGTCTACTCAGGGCGTTTGAGAGTCGCTATCCTGCGCGAGTCCTGGGAACAGTGATCCTTTCGGGTGCCCCCAGATGACCGTCTGCAATGGCGCGTGTGTTGAACGCGCTTCTTCGCTGCCTGTTTGAAATGAGCTATGCCGCTGAGGTCCTTGGCTCCTAATATGCCTGGGCAGCGAAACACCGGCACCCCATGAAGCAGTGGCAGCAGCAGCCGCTGCTCCTGCTGCAGCTGCTCGCGTCGCTCCGCCCGCCTGGGCGAATCTTCTAAAAGAGCCGTCTCTCCAAAGACCTCCCCCGCATGGCTTAGAGCCCTTATCTAAGCCTGTGGACCCCATGTCTGGTGAAGGGCCATTCAGGAACTGTGCCGAAGCAGTGGGGTCACGGAATGCAACTCGGGGACTTGATGGTCTAGCGAGTTCACAAGAGGGACGCAGCGGCCCTACCTGTATATGGTGCTGCAGCAGTTGCTGTTCGACCAAGTCCTCCTGCTGTTTTGCCTCTTCCGGGGACGTTGGCAGCAACAGGTCCGAGACACGAGATTCAGCTGGCTTTGCGGTGGCCTTGACAGCCATGGTGTTCTCCATGAGGGACCAGCAGGTGGCGGGCATCGAGCATCTCGGCCTTAACCCTTTACGGGTTGTCCAGGGGGTGCCACTCCGGCCCCTGTTGACCCGTCTACAGCTATTTCCTCTGCTCCTATAGTTCCTACTGGTGCTGCAACTGTTGCCCCTCCAGAGGCTCGGTGATGTAGATGTGTCATGTTCTACAAACCCTGGGTGCCCCCATGAAGTTAGCAGACGCATTATCTGTTGCAGTGTGGCAACAAAATGCTGCGACATCCGCTTCACAAGGCAGCGAGAATAATCCCATCTTCTACTTGCTGCTACCTCCACTGCTACGAAGAGTTGCCTTAGCAATTGCAGTAGCAGGGCTGACCCACTGAAAACTTCGCCTGAGATCCAGGTTTTCCTCGGCCACTGCCCCAGCGGCAAAGCGGCCCTTTGCAGGTGAGTGAAACACCTCTCCTGAGCTGCTGCAATAGCTGCCTTCGTAGCACTTATTGCAGATGAACTTGCCGCAGCAGATGAACTTGCCGCAGCCGTAACAGCGGCTTTTTCACTAGCTGTAAAAACTAGATGGAGGGGCGCACCAACACGCTTCCAGGTACTTGAGAGAGAATGGGCAAACCACACCAATGCATCAGGAGCAACAGAAGAGGCGCAGCCAGCAAGGGCATGTACACCAATGCAACCCCATACTTCAGCATGCCTCCAGGCTGCTCTTGCTGCTGTGATTGCCGCTTTTGCGGCTCCCACTACTGATACTACTGCAATTAATGCTTTCGTTGTTGCTGTTTTCCTCGTTGTCGTCGCTCCTACCAAACTGGCGTCTTTTGCTATGTCTACTGCCCCTGGCCTTACTGCTGCTGTTACCGCTGGTAGAACCCCCATGGGATGTTGTAGAGCTTCCAAATAGTTGCTTAGAGAAGCTTCATAATTCGTCTTTTGTGTTGCTGCCTTGTCTCTAAAAGCAGCAGCAGAGGCAGCCTCAGAGACGGCAGGTGTGCCCTCCTGGAACAGGGGGGCTAGTTTAGCCTTCGCCGCATGGAGATCCATAAAGCAAACCGAAACCGCTTCACCGAAGGCCCCCACTGAATTATGCAGAACATCAAAACGGGCCGAAGCACAACACTTTCGTTTCCTTCTCGCCACCTGCCTCTGGTGTCCAAGAGAAGCCTGCTGCATACTGTCTAGGGGAAGACGCTGAAGTGGTAAATGGCGGCGGTTCGCCGGCCCTTTTAAAATGAAGGGCCCGTGTTGCTGCTCTTTCGACAGCGTGTCCTGCTCGCGCTCGTGTTGGTTTCTGTTTCGCTGAGCAGAGCAGTGATGCTGCTGGCAAGTGTAATGACGCGAAGCCCGCGCACTCGGGCTTGGAAGCACCCGTTCGTTGCATCCCCCTGAAAAAGAGAAGCTCCTGGGTCCTGCTACATGTATCGTCTCTGCATGCTGCCCTCCTGGATCAGCAAATCCTTTCTTCGTTGCTGAACTTCCGATGGCTTTGTTGCTGTAGGCACGGCCAGCAATGCTCACATGTCTTCGGCATTCAGACAAGCAAGCCTCAAGCTGCCCATTGCCGAACCCTGCATCGGTGCTGTAGTGGCTGCTACAGTTGCAGGCAATGCGTTGTTGTTGCTCTTGCTGCACAACCCATTTTGATTCACTCGTGTCAAGACGAGAAATATCAACCCATTCTACAGCAGCTAAAGGATGGGTGGGCCCCCACGACGGGTTGGGCGCCCCTGCATCTTTTAGGTCACAAATTTCAGCCACTCGTCTGGCGGATACAGCGAGGTTGGTGAAGCCCAAAGCTCTTGAGATAAGCGACAACAGGGCTGCCTCGGCCCTCAGGGCCGAATGATCGCCTAGCCTAATGGCCTCCTGCATCAATGAGCAGCTCGTAGGGAGAGATGAAGCGTAAAAATCCCATAGCAGCCTCAGGTGGACACGGGAATGACGGCTTAGTGGCATCCAGGGCGGATCACCATTAGGCGACGACCAACGGGAAGTGGGGTACCCACACGATCCGCAAAACCCAGGCACCCGCGACCACGAAATGGCGCCACCGTGACTCGTTGACGCCTGTGGTCCCGTTGTTTCAGCTGCTGCTATAGCAGCAGCAACTGATCCCGCTCCACATGTCGCTGTCGGCGAAAACCGTTCTGATAATGAGGTCAGAACTGCCTCTGCTCGTGAACGCTGTGAAAACGGGTGCCTGCGTGCGCAGTTCGACCCTATCTCTCGTAGTGTTGGTGGTGGTGCAGGTTGAACTTCTCCACAGGCTGCTGATGCTGCTGGATCTCGAGAGGGGCATTCCTCTTTAACAGCGTTGGCAAGGCGTTTACAGGCAGAAACCCAAGACGACATTATCACTGTTGCTCCTGTCTGTGCCGGTGCTTGTGTTCTATTCACAGTTTGTCCTGCACTGTGGAGTTACAATTTCGCAGGAACATGTGAACCCCACTGACTGGCCGCACTAGGTCCATAAAGTGCGTGCCAATTAATCAACAAATCAGTAAGGGGTGAGAAGCTTCTTAGTACAATAAAACAGTTCGGGAAACAGCTGGGGGTTCGCAGCGCTGTGGGAGTCGGCTGCTGAGAGTAGGTCCCGGAGAAGCGGCGCAGAACACAAACTTAAGGAGGTAGACAAGTACTATGGCAAAATTGAATATTGCTTGCCATTTAGGTTGCTGGCAAGGCGTTTAAGAACTGTAATGAGCACCTTGGCTCACCGAATAGCAGCTATTGCTCCGGTATATCTTCGGCCTACAAGGGGCAGCCAGCGGGCTTATTCATGGATGCGGAAAGAGGCTATTAGATTTAGGAGAGATTCAACGACACAAACGCAGAAGAAGCGCAACAGGCTGAGAATCCAGCAACATGGAGCCACGGGAGAGCGTCGCTGCCCCGAGGCAATAGGGAGAATTATATGGGAGGCACGTGAGCGTCCCCTCCGTTTGCTTCCTACCTATGACTTAAAAAATTAATTTCGTTGTGTGCAGCTAGCGAGAGCACGCTAGAGGGGTGAAGGCAGGCTTTGATGTCGGTTGGGTGCAGATGCACGGGCCCCGCCTGTTACTGCATAGCGAAGAGCAAATGCTTGTTGAACGAAAGTAAGGGGGAACCGGCAAACAGCAATTTCCTCTCCTGCTGTATTCTGAGGTTGCCTAACTCTGGAACGGACTACAATGGGCCACTCCAACCTAGCCCCAGGCTGGTGGTTATTTCCCCACGGGAAAGGAATAAGTAGTAGGTGAACCCATTTCCGCCTATTACACATATTCACACACTAGGAAATTCACCAAGACCAAGAACTCCTATCACCTCATAATATTACAAGCCTTCGACGTACCACGGCGGGCCACACCATGAAAGCTCAAGCATAATGTGCGGAAGGGCTCTAGCAGATTCAGCCCTTGACGCGCAACTCCATTGCAGCAAGAAACATTCTGCATTCTGCGTTGCATCCGGTTATGCCTCACTGTGTGGCATTGATATCTTTACATGCGATCTCCCTGACTCTTCACTGCAAACAATTAACATCACTAAGCGCTAAGCCCTCCGACTGTACTACTGCATGAACGTGAAGAAGCTCTGAGACGTTTTAAACCGTGACCTCTTAGCATTAACCTCCACCTTCCCTCGTGATAATCGTTATTAGACGTACACCCAGAAAAAGCGCTTAGCTTCAGTTACCTCCCAATGACGATACACACACTACCTCCCTGATGCGCCGGAGTGTCTAGGATCTCTGCGCTCCGCAGTCGAAACTTCGATCCTTGCCCTCACTATCCCACAACGCATTTGTTTAGATGCACGCTTGACTACAAATCCCCAGGTGCAACCACAAGCTGCTTGAACGAGGTGCGTAGCAATGCTGCCACTTCTTTCGTTGCCAAAACTCCATAACCCGCCGTCTCAAACGATGAGGTGCAGCTATACTGGCCGACTTTCCTGGCAAGCAGGTCTAGTAGTGTCCGGCATCGCTATATCTCTATGTACTATTGCTTTTGTCTAAGCGTGGATATGTATACGTAGGCCCGTGGCCGTCTACGTTGCCTGACTTGAGACTATCGGGGGCTGCAACAAAAAGCCCCCCATTTTCTTCATTGTCAATGATGCGGTGTTTGTTTACTATCGACTGCAAAATAATCCAGCATGAAGCACAGCGAATTTGCATCCATATATTTGCGCTTCATTGCCTATGTAATACTATCACCGCCACGTGAATACAATGAAGAATAGCGCCCTACGCCCTGAAAAGACGCATGTTTCCGCCGTAAGAATGGGCGTCTGCCCTGCTGATGAATATGAAGCGTGGCTTCAGACCTGGAACTGGACCATTATACTGCAAATCCCCAAAATCGCACACCAGACATCTAGACTCTCACTCATGACCCTACCATGAGGGGGCGTACAACTCAACAAAGCACACGAAATTCAAAAGCTATTGAGAAATCTTGCACCACGCCCCAGCAAATTCAAGCGTCCGCATAAAAAGGCTGCTATGTATGTGGAATATATTTATCCATCCCGTGTTCCCACTGGATGTGCTGTTGCGCCGCAAAATGCCCGCATGTACTTTTGTGCATCTACGGGTGTAAGCTAGCATACTGCCGTCAGGATAGCAACAACTTACTTCTCTTCCTCATCTTCTGGTATTGCCTCTCCCTTCTCCTTTTTACAAACATCAATCGCAACTTCAATCTTTCCTGCAGTATCAAGGCGCATATTCGAACTAAGAATGACTCAGTTCTCTTTCGTTCCACGGCAACGAAAAAAATATTTGGACCAGTCATATACAGTGGGTAGCAGTGTACGCACCCGGGTTAATGCTTGGGTCACCTCCCTCAACAAGGCGCAGCTCGGCCGTGGTATGTTGATACTTCTGCGGCACGCTCACAATGCATGAACTCCAAGAAGTAACAAGAACAGCGAGCTGCATAGTGAAGTACATGCAGCACTAGGAACCGCTCCCTCTGCACTCAAAGGAATGCATTTCCAATAGTCACGCCTATATCCGCTGTGGGCCAATATTCCGGAAACTAACAGACCTACCTTGCACACATTGACCTCGAACGCTTGTGAGAACCCGATACCCATGAGTGATATATCCTTGAATGTCTTGCCCTGATCGTCTGTCCCCTTGGATATTGTGACGACGGCGATGTACAGCAAAAATCGCTTCGACGGGTCTGAAATCGGCAGAATTATCTTCTCCCCAGAGAAGGCGCAGATATAATTCTCCCCGACGCGCTGACCCTTTACGGGCTTCGTCCGATTTCGCTTGTGGTTCACAACCTGAAAGAAAACGAACTGGCAAAGCTGCATGTTCTTCGCATCATATTTGCCAAAGTTTACAGTTGATTCGACGTAGTTACAACATTCAAGCTGCACGAAGTGTTGCCCTACTGCCTATACGACAAAGTTTATAGGCATGCATTTCCTGTGGGTTCTCGAAAAAAATATGCAGCCTTTCTTTTAGAATTTAGAAAGACTATGCTCGCAGCTTTCATTTACGGCTGCTACTTACCTCGTTCAGGTTATCGCCTTCGAAAAGCCCAACTGCGATGAAGTACCGCTCATCCCCCTCTTTAATCACATCCAGTTTGACCTGCCTATGCGAGAAACAGTAGCAGCAGCCCAGGAAAAAGCAGAAACAACCCACTGAAAAGCAGCAGTTCCCTGGAGCGAGCCGCTTGGTAGCTCTATGGCACGGGCAGAGAGCCCACCATTGCAAGCAACTTATGTACCACGTACCCACTGTGTCGGTGCGCACCAACTCAAAGGATAAGCTTCCGTGCTGCTGCCAAAATTCTAAGACGCTGTTCTTTACTGGTTAGAGCATCTAGACCAGGATCTAACAAACTAGAACGCATGTTAGAATTCATGCGTATTCGTGATGCCAACACTTTATTATGATACGCGCGCGTCAATGTAATCATCGAATGATCATTTGCGGTGTCATTATGTGGTTAACCGCTTACTTCAGGCCGCCGATGGTTACAATTACCTTCTCGCCCGGCTCCATACTGGTCCCGCCTCCAGCAGGTGACCCTGCTATCCCTCCAGCTCCGCCGGCCACCGGTCCTGCCGCTTTACCCGCTCCTTTAGAAGTGCCCCCACATCCTGTGGCCTTCTGGGAAGCTGCTGTAAAGCAATCCACCAACGCCACACAAGAGTGTGCGAATGCTCAGACGCAGTGGGCAAAAGAAAAGGCAAAGGCGCTCGTGAGGACGTACGTATATTTACATATGTAAGTGTGCACTTCAGCATCTACTCACGCAGGCCGTAATGCAACTGAGCGATAAGCGAATATCGCTTCTTATCGGGAGCTCCGGAACAGTACATGACACTTGGTAGCACACCGGTCTCAAGCATTACCTTTCTTTGATAAGAATGAGCTGAAGCTTCTGTAACTTACCGTAGAGACCCTGGAATTGTCCACCGTAGGTTGGATTATATGACATCTTCAAGATAAGGGATTATGAGGCGGGAGCAACGGCAATAGAGGCGACAATGTAATAAGTTTCCGGCGTAGACGGGCAAGAAGCCTTCCCTCTTAAGAATTCCAGATATAAACAAATAAGAAAGCAAACTAACAGAAGATGGAGAACACTCTTAGGGCAATCACGCTAGGCCTTGACCCGTAGTCGCTCGCAACGGACTGTGAGCCGCTCAGCCACGCCTACGAGGTTTCGTCAAGAGCTCTGTAGGCTTCCGAATGCCGTCGATGGAAAATATTTTATGCATTTGTGTAGTTACAAAAGACTGGAGAGTAGACAAAAACTCTGCCGTTTGCATATGTCCAGCCAGTGGTCCATTCACGTGACACTAGTCATGCCATCCAAAGTTCTTCAACACCATGTTACGACTCTACCCATTAATGTTGAAATACATGATGAAACTGAACAGGGGTGCTTTATCCCATACTGGAGATAGGCAGCATGCTGCCCTGGACCTTCGCACCCGTGCATACTTGGGCACCCCCAGCACTCGGAGGCCTTAAGCTGTGGATCTAAAACTTGTCCATAGTTGGAGGCGAAGTTAGTTATGATGACGACGTAAATCAGGTGTAGTTCGGTCCCTTGTCTGTCCTGAGGGCAAGCATTCACTTCACATTATACGTTCGTTGAAACCGCTGGTTCAGTTCTACTTGGCAGTCATGCTGATCCTTTACAAGAATCCAGGCGGTGCCACTTAATTGCTGCTCTAGCTGACATTTGTAGGCTTTGCAAACATACAGATTGTGCTCGTGCAAATGGGGTCAAAGATTGCAACCAGAATCCTCGATCGTTGACGCCAAACTTCGTCAACTCCACCGAATACAGAATATATAGTAAGGTTCTCCAGTCAGCTGCTGACCTCCCCTTCGATCTCCAAGCGTACTGGTGTCAGTAGCCTAACGATGTGGGGTTGGTGAGGAGAAGGTGGCCTGCCCTAACTTTAATGCTGCTGGAAGCAACTGCTGCTGGAAGGCACGGATGCAAACATGCACAGGCGCCCTCACATTGTGGAGATTCGACAAAAACTTGATTGGCCCTCAATTTCCAGCCAGTGGACAAATACAAATACCATTCAACCTCTGGCAACAATGCCGCATGTGCCCCCTTTGCCCCTATTTCCCCAAACAGCGCACACTCCCGGATCTGCCTGGGTACCCAAGTGGGGCTAGGTGCACTGAGGGATTGGACTCTGTAGCAAGAGGCCAGAGCAGAAAGGAAAAAGAAAAATTACAAGGGGAAGAAAACAGGAGGTGTGCGCCCAGTCCTAAGACTTTTCCTCCTGCGGGTCTACACTTGCGAATGTAAGCGGCGGGCCGCTCACAGGAGTGGCCACTGGCCATGAAAGGTGATCTGTGCCTTGCTCTGAACTTCCGTAGGCGTCCATAAGTGTACCGCCCACGCTCGAGGGCCCTCTATCTTTCTTGAATGAGGTTCCAAGCCTGCTGCAGAGACACAAAAATCTCAAAAGCTAATAGCTTGAATGGAAAACGACAACCTTTGTGTTTCTACAAGCGAACTGCTTCTCCCGTAGTTGCTGCAAAACCCGCCACAGCTGCTACGCGTGCTCCTGCTCATTCCTAGTCAACCGAAGCACGCCGCCTATGTATATGGCCGTCCAGCCGTCATTGACAAAGCCACGGAAATCTTGAATGGCCAGCCTCTGTAGCACGGTAGGTGCGCTCAGCAGCCAGAAGGGCGTGGAGATGCGTTTTAGCTTGCGAGCGCGGGCGTAAAACGCAGTATTGTTCACGCCGTCGTAATGCACCAGAATGTGTAAAAGCGCGTCGTGAAGTCAAATGATTAACAGACAGCTGAATCCTACACAGGGTCAAGTAGTTCGCCAATCTGGGCCATGGGAAGCCTTGCTTCATTGTGATTTTTTTGTGAGGATTGAGGCGTGAAGTTGGCGCAAATGCCCCGTCCCTCGTCCATCTTCTTCGCCAGCACTCGGTTTGGTCAAACTTGCTAGCTGGAGGTTGAATTTAACCCTTTTTTTTCTCCGCTCGATGCTCAATTTCCTCTTCAAGCCGGTGCGCTAGAAGAACTACGGATGGCAGCACTGCTGGAAGCTGCCTGCTATTTAGTCATCTGAGAGGTCTTCCTGTAATTGGGCATAATTCTGCCGCCCCTAGTGTTCCAAATGGGTTGCGTCTCCCAAACTGCGGCTTTTGTGAGCGCATCGCGGCGGGGTGCCTGCATTTCCCCATCGTTTCCTACAGCCCCTCTTCACTGTGTTGCTGACTCCCTCTTCCTTTCCTCTGATGATTCTGCTCCCTCTCCCATTATAGTCGAGAATACGGACACTGTTGGGTGCCTTAAGAGGTGATTTTCTCATAAATATCCAGCGCGTAGACTCCAACAGCGTCTTTTGAAGACCGCATGCGGTGCCACCACTGAGCCACCGACGGCATGATTAATACTGTGTTGCGGTAAACTACTCCAACTTCGAGGCTCCGGATCATGGAAAGATATCCCATTTCTTAGTGGAACCTTCACTTCACGCACATAGCTTCATCGATCCCCATGTCCTATCCGCCATCCACGAAGCGTGGTCGCAGAAACTCCAATGAATAAGCACAGAGATCGCAGCCCCTCGCGGTAAGGCAGGATCATTCTGCAGCCAGAGTCAAGCAGCGCTTACTACTTTTGATCATTTGCCAAGCGTGGACAATCACAGAACTTACTCGAGATCGATTTGCAAGTGCAGCGGTTTCCTCTCTGAAGGGTGGTGTAGTCAATGAGACGTTGCTTGAGTTGGCGAACCACCTGGGTTTGTGCGTCTGTGCAGTGAAAGGGGGTGTCTTTGCGAGTCAGGGTAACCATGGGGCGGGAAATGTCTGCATAATCGGGACCCATAAACATACGACGGTAATTAACAGTACCAAGGAACTGGCGTACTTGCGTTTCATTCTCCAGCACCTCTGGCCACACCCGGATTGCTTCGATCTTGCCGGCTGCAGGT